CTGAAGCAGGTCTTGGAACATAGACGAAAACATTTGTTTTTCTGGACTTTGATCAGTTTGCTGGGGAAATTTTAAGGTTAGAGAGTTTTTATCTGGGTTTCTAATTCAGTGGCCAGGACCACCTTGCTACTGAATTCAACAGCATTATAAAATATAAAAAATATCGATAATTATCAACTGCATTTTATAATAATACTAGCTTACCCGTCGCGCATTGCTGCAATCTCAGAAGAAACAAAATTCAAGCAAACTCGTTATGATAAAATTAAATTTACATTTTATCATTTTTATTGAAACTTATTATTATTATTAATTTTCATCGGAAAAATATTTCAAAGTGTCGTTTCAATTCTATTTATTTATTGGAGTGCTTGTGGATACATGATATTTTTTGTTTTTCTGTTTGGTGCGTACACGAATAAATCAGAAGGTTTTCTGACGCATGAGCAGGCTTCATACGGTTGTACATGTGAGAAGCACGGATTCTTTAAATTTAGCCCACATACTCGCAGAGATTGTCAGAAGTGCGATATTCCCCATTTTTATATATATTTTTTAATCCTTTATAATTTTGATTATTTAATTGCTCCTTCCTCTCTNGTACTGTACATGTGAGAAGCACGGATTCTTTAAATTTAGCCCACATACTCGCAGAGATTGTCAGAAGTGCGATATTCCCCATTTTTATATATATTTTTTAATCCTTTATAATTTTGATTATTTAATTGCTCCTTCCTCTCTTCCTTGGCATGTTGTGAAATTTCTAATAGTTGGATAATAAACCGTTTTATTGTAATTTGTCTCTTTAAATTATTTTGAGTTGATATTAAAATTTGGTAAAGGGGGATCCTTAGATCGGTAAAATAGACGAATTTCCTCCTACAACTTTGGTTGTTGTTCGGGATACAGTTAAGGTTTTAACAAAGTTTGAGCGAATACGTAATTAGCAAAAAATAGTTGAAATAAAGTGATTAAACAAAAATTATTACAAGTATCGTAAATAACAAATGCAAATATAGAGATTTTTTGGAGGGGGGAAATGGTCTTCAGAATTTGAAATGCTCATGTACACGCACGCCATCTATCGTAGGATAAATGTACTATGCCAGAAACCTTCACGGGAGTGTATTAAAAAACTTCCCAAAGTTTCACGGCAATTGGATAAACAGTGTGGTAATGCATGAAGGACAGACACACACACATTCATTTTTATATATATAGATAAAAAAAAAACTTACGTGCATATAAAACATAAAGTTCAAAAGTAAAGAAAATATTATCTCTGTGAGCCATGTGCTTTAAATTTTTTCTAATATAATTTAACTTTAACTGACATGAAAATATCCAAATAAAAATAAAATGTTCTTATGAATTTCCAATTTAAATTGGTGTAATCATTTAATTAAATTACAACAAATGGGTCATTTTAATAATAATAATTTCAAGCATGTAAAGTTATAAAAGTTTATTTATTCAAGAGAGAAATTCACACAAATATTTTTTTAAAAATATTATTTCTTAGATGACTGCCCTTGAAGTTTATCTGCTTCGACTTTTTGACGGCCGCCAGTTAAAGATAACTATCTAAATATTGCCAATTATCAAAAGGAATAACATTGACCATAAAATGTTTATACATCAAAATGAATTTTTTACTCGAAACAACATTATTGTACTTGGTACGTGCGGTATTTGTGGTACAATATTGTGTTATAAACGCAATCTATTAAACAAAACATTAAATATGGATAATGTTAAATCCATTTGGAAAATGGAAAAAAAAACTGTTGTAGAGTTTTTATAAATAGCAAATCCAGTTGTCCATAAAGATTTAAGTTTTGTTAGCATTACTGTGATATGTATTTCTGTTGTTGCATTTGTTTGAATTTAACAAACAAATAATGTTATTGAGCATTAAAATTAGTCTTTATAATTTTTTGTTTATTCAATAAACATAAAGATATATATGTCTCGTATGTTTTAATGATGATGTAATTTATTGTTGGTGTTTGTCACTTAAGTGTTGCTGTTCTGATGGGTGAAGTGATACTGCCTTGGCCATCAAATTTGAAGGGAAACCAAATTGCATCATAATGTTAGACATTGCATAAATGTCACAAATTTTAATTATTGTTAGGCATTAACTGTCAAAACAAATTTTGGAACACCAATACTAAAATACACCATACATATAACAGAACCACTAAAATTATAAACCGAAATGATATAGATTAACCATATGAACCCACTCTGGGACAAGTTTATACACTTCTATATACCCTCTTGTAACTCTCTTAGTGCTCTACATGTGGAAAGAGAGCACCTTATTAACTGCCAACTTTAAAATAAAAGAAAAAATAAACAAATACTAAAACATATCTTATAGAATGGATAGTCACATTGTATATTGGAATAGTATATATACCAGGGATGACCAACACGTAGACCACGGTCGACTGCAAATGTTTTGAAAGTAGCCCGCAAAGCTAAAGTTGAACAATTTGCTTTCACTTAAATTAATGTTTAAAAATCTTAATTCGATAATTTATTCTTACAATAATACTGTCTGTGCAATGTACCCATACTGTTTGTATTTATCCCGATGAACAATGCAAATGAATGTTAACACATGCGCATATAAAAATCCTAAAATTGTTTGCACATATTCATAGTCGCCTGCAGACTATATTTTACCAAAAAAGTAGCCCNCAGTGAAGTGTGAGTAGTCAAAGTGATACAGTGACTGAATATAAATCGAAAATAAAGTGTGAAAACTGTGTAAAGTGTACTTAGTGTATTTGTTAATAAAAAGTTGATTTGTTTTATATTTTATACAATGCCCAAACTTAAAAGAGGAGGAGCTCTTGCCAGTTCTGAATTTTCTTTTGAATTTTAAAGTTGATATCGTCGACAGTATTATTTTTAGTTGCCAAAATTGCCCTTTGAAATAGCCACTCCGGATTGGTATAGTTGTGAACAATGTTTAGATAAATTTGGTCGATGAGTTCCTTTTTCAGTGTTGCAAAAATCACTGTTGAGTTCAATGAGGCCGGTCTGTGGTGGTGTGGAGGACAAAAAAAAGGATGACAAAGAAGTAACCATAAATTAAATAGGATATTTATTCAACTACAGCTACGTAGTCCTTCGTACACCTGGTTCGTTTACACTAAACACACTTGATCCCAAACTATAGTACGCGCACAAGTTCGAATCCGTCCGACAAAATTCTATGTTTTCACAAGCAGAAGATACGTGCTCGCGACAATAACAAATTATGGTTTTGAGATACTACAACTAACTTAAATCTACCTTAATCTAGCTTATATGCTAAGGAAGAAGGGTGAAGAAATTAAGAGATGTGAAGAGAAGAGATAAGTATAAAGGACAGATTTTGTGGGGGTACCCGGGTAAACTTGGGAGTCTCCGATCTTCTCTATATCGGTACTTGAATCAATTTCCTTCCTCTCGTTTCCGTCTCTTGAGAATTCGAGAGCGTTTTCTGAAGTCTTAATCTGGGTGTCCTTCTAATTTTCGTCCGTTCGCAGACCATTTCCAAGCCTTCTCTTTTACTTTGTCCCACTAGGCGACAAACCTCTAGCTTGCTCTTTCCCACGTCTGCACACCTCGGACGCTGACCCCAAAAGTGTCTTGTTCGTTTTCCTGATGGCCTCAGGGCTTCTTAATGTCCCCTTTGTCTTCTCCCTTTGTCCTTGGACAAAGGTCCCCCACCCATAGAAAAAGAATAGGTTAGAAAGTTCTAGAAACACGTTAAAGACAAAAGAATTTAGGAGAAATAAAACTTATATCTACCCCTATTTACAAAGACATGGCGTACCGCCACAGGTCGTCTGGTCAGTGGGATATGTGCCTTCGCCTATTTGTAAAAGTTTTTGAGCAAAATGTTGTTTATAAACAAGTATTGTAAATAGTTAGAATATGTTTTCAATAAAATTTTTTATAGTGTTACCACCTTTTCAAAATCGCTGACCCAGACGGCAGGTCAGATTTGTTCGAACAGAAGTTCGCAATATGCGCAATGTCATTTTACAATGCGAAGAATAACGTGCATGCCGGTTCTAAATCTGTTACAGTTAGGGACTAGAGATTTGCGTAGGAGTAACGTAAGTAACCTAAATTAAGAAAGGACAGGTACAGATGACTTAGCTCTATTGAATATTGGAGACGTGCACGATTGTATGTACAGTACAATACATGCAATAAATAAAAAGTTCGACAGGTTGCGAGTCACATGTCGGCGTAAACAGATTAACAGGGCAGAATTGCTGATGAGTTTCAGTGAGTGTGAGTTCTTTCGCTGTTAAAATAGTGTAAATTTGTAAAAATATTTGCAAGAACTTTGTTTCATCGTAATTTCACAATTTCTACGAAATTCCCGGACAGTGAGTCAATTCCCGGACTGTCCGGGTGAAAACCGGACGGGTGGTAACACTATGCCTTCGAGCTACTTCCAATTAAAACGAAACTCAACAGTCTGGTATCTAAAAAATTCTTTATGTATAAAATCCTCATTAAAATTAATTTAAGTGCACGTTTTAACCACCAATAATTGAAATTATAAATGGTATGAGTTTTTAATGATACTTTTATGTTTGTGTTAAAGGACATTCTGCATTTTTCACTCTCCGTCCTGAGAGTTTTTTTTAAACAATACTTATTATTAATTTGGCCAAACCCACAAACTACTGGATGGAGAAGGCCCACAGAATCAAGATATACCGTCCCCAAAAAATTCCTAGGGTTTCTGACCCAGAAATTTTTTCGGGACGGTACAGTATTTATTATAAGACAGCCGCCAAACGAAGCGAAGGTGGCGACATACAACGCAGAAAATTTCAATTAATTTTCCAATATTGATTTTCAAACTTTAGATTGCAATATTTATTTATTTACTTTTTTTTTAATTTAAAAATTATCATAATATTTTTAAATTATTACTTTACAAAAATAATATTTTATTGGAAACAATTATGTAAAATCTTGATTTATTACGTCTCTATGGAAACATATTTGTTTATCTTTGTTTTATTTATTTTTTTCGGATTTTCCAATAGTTTTTGTAGATTGATAACAGATACCTTTTAGTAAGAATTTATTTAGATTTAGGATATAAAATATAATTTTTAAACGTTTTTTTTTTCTTCCCATTATCAATGTTAAATCCAATTACATCTCGCGCATATTCCGAGAATGAATGGCACGAAGCGAATTACAAACTGCTGAAGAAATCTGATTTTGTTAGAGACGAATGGAAGAGGTAAGTAATGTTTACTTTTCTTATTTAAATTTTATTTTTTTAATCTCTAATTAATTTTCTCCACGTGCGCTAGATTATGTTGAAGATCGGTCGATAAATATTGAAAATGGAGATGCGATGCGATGCGACTTGGCGCAATCTTGCGCCAAGTCGCATCGCATCGCATCGCATCTCCATTCGGAAAGCGATCTTGCGCCAAGTCGCATCGCTTTCCGAATGGCTGGTCCCTCGTTACTAAGTGTAACGGGACAGGTCAAACTCGAGGCTGAACTCAATGTTTCAATCGGAAATGGAGGACATTCCTTTATTATTTACGACTCTGCGTCGCAGTTTTAATATAAAACCAGGGGTGGGCAACCTTTCAGCGGTGTTGTGCCGAAACTAAGTTATAGAGTTATTCCGAGTGCCGACATGATTCTACCAAGTTTGTGATATATATTTTCAAAATTAGTCCGGTTATAACGGACTTCAAAAATGTATAATTTTGAAGTTAAGTTGTTAATAATTAAATAATAATTAAAATGTAATTTTTACTACATTTCTATTCAATCAGAGTGCTACTGAAAATCGTCCCGCGTGCCATAGGTTGCTGACCCTAGATATAAACAAAGGGTAACCTCTAAATGAACTAAAATCTTGCGAAATTTGTGACGATTCGGACCTCACAATAATCATGAATTCAAAAAGTTTTGGTATAGTGCCTATGATTATTATTCGTAGGCACTACACCTCCAGTTCATACGATAGATTTGCTCTGAATCCTTCAATGTCTGTTCGTGAATTGCATATGAAGAGGTGGTTCACCTTGTGCTGTGAAAGACCTATTGTACTAGAAGTTGAGAGGCAGGAGCTAATATTAACTTCTGTTTGAGACCTTTTGAAATCAAAAATATATATTTATTTGATTATTTTCACGGGGTATTCACGTGAAGTTTTGCGAAAATATTTAGTTTGTGGTTTTAGAAGTAATTACTGCTCATTTTTATAGAGCATGCGAAGAAGCAAGATATGTGCTAAGGGAGAGAGAAATGTTAACACAATCGTCACAAGAAACAGTGACTGGATTAATACAAGAGAGAGCAAGAGAGATCTTTCGATGGAAGAGAGAATTTCAAAGGACTATCGACGATTTAATTTCAGTAACTAAGATTGTTCATAACCATAAGAAACAAATAGAGAATGCCATAAATGCAATTGATTTATCATTAATGATTAACAGTGAATGCCTCGCTCTAAGAAGACAAAGAGTTGGATTGGATTTAGCGGATGATTCTGTCCAATCTTATCTCTTACAAGTAACTTTATTGTTAAGAAATTTGTATAAATTTATTTAGAAATGCCGATAAATTTAATAAATAATATAATAATTAAATAGAAATAAAATATTTTTGTTTATAGGAAGAAGAATTGTTAACATACGTTAAAGTATTTCTCTTGAAGAGCATTCCTAAAGTTGAAGATCAAATTAAGTAAGTATTTGCTACGAAATTCATTACTTATTTTAAATTTTAAAAAGTAAATTTATAATCTTTTGATTTAAAGGATTTGAATTTAAGACAAAAAAAAAGAGATTGCTTTTTGCACAAATATTTAATTTTGTAAATGAAACGAAGACCCATTACTTTGCCGTTTTAAACTCAGGATTAACATGGATTTTAAAGAAGTTTCTAAATAAACAGAAACTTCAATTTGCATAAATTACAATATACGTTCAAAAAGTTTAGGAATTTGTCCTCCATTTATATTTATAAATGGAGGACAAATAATTCCAAGAAGGGCTTAGGTGTGTGCATAGAGGGAGGAGATTTTTGAAAGTCAAAATGTAAGACACGTCCTCCGTCTATTAATCCTGGAAAATATATAAAGAAATTGATTTAATATTTCTCAAAATTACCATCCTGAGCTTCAACACACTTTCTCTGTCAATCTATCCAATTCAGGAAAGATTTAACTTCAGAAATGGCAATCAGAAATGGTCATTTTGATCAACCGTACCAGTTGATCGTGGGTTCGCACCTCACCACCAGGCTGGCCGCATAGTTTTCTGGGTTTTCTTCGTGTGTTTAATACCTAAATAGGAGCCAGTTTTCTTTGAGAATCCTTCCAGGAGGCAATCCTCCTTAGCAGATCATATCAATGGGACCTTTAACAGAAAACTAGCCTCTATTTAGGTGTTAAACACGTGAAGAAAACCCAGAAAATCTCACGTGGCCGATCCATTGGTGAGGCGCTAACCCGCGCCATTGTTCAGTGTTTTTATCCACTTGGCCATTGGTGGTAAAATTTTTGAATGGAACAAAAGAAATCGAGTTGATATAAACGACTTTTTAAAATAATTGATGTATAAAATAAGATCTTTTTTAAATCAAATTTGACTTATTTTAAAAATAATATTTAACTTTCTGAATTCTTTTGGCATCCAAGAATTAATAATAATTTTAAAGCAAAGTTGGAGGAGGATTGGACAGATAAATGGGAAGCTTATAAGATTGATAGTTTCTGTGTTCATTTAGATTATCACTTTAATGAATCTGTACCATTTCATTACGGATGGGAAGAACTGCCAGAAAGGTAGATAATTATTTAAATGTTTTCTTAATAGCATAAGAATAATGTATTGAAAAGTTATATTTTTTTTTTTAAGATGGAACACAGTTAATTCGTGGTTGGAATCAATTAAAGAGAGTTTAATGCAATGTTCAAACGAAATTACGATATCGAATTCTCTATGCAAGGCTGTGGAAAGTTTATTAAAAGATTCTTCGAGTGATGTTCAAGATCATCGATTTCTTGTTGATTTAGCATTAAATGGAAGAATTGTAGATTTGAATAGAAGTATTTATCAATTAAAGGAGCATCTAAAAATAGTAATTATCATTTATTTTCAATTTTGACTGTTTAATTTAAGTATTAATTTTTAGTGTGTATGTGTGTGTCTTTTATAGGACCTATTATGTACTTCTAAAGTTGATTAATATAATAGTATAAACAAATGTTATTATTTTAAATTATCTAAATAATTTTACTAATTATGATTTACAAAAAACACTTCTTGTTCACTTTATCAAGAACATTTGTTTAAATTTCTTACCCGTGTGCTTACATTAGACATGTATTAGCGTATGTATGGTAACGGAATGTCTGGGCGTGTACAAGACACCATTAGATTAAAAAAAATCTGTGGCCTATCATAGGTGATTGTTTCTTCTAAGACTTATGGAAATTGTTTAGAAGATTGTACGGATTGGTGATTATATTTGTCAATTTACAAACGATGGTACCCTTCTTATTCAAGACTTAAAATTGAGACTAACCTCATATAATATCTATTGTAAATTATGAATATTAGGGCTGTTACAAGCTTTTAATGTGATTTTTATTGTTTAGCTGGTAGAAGATATGTCAATAGCCGAGAAAACAATAGAAAAACTGACATATTCACTAAAAGAAAAGCAACAACCTTTGAAAATAGCACAGACAAGATTGCATTATCGATTTCAAAGGCCAAATAAAGAATTAATTCAAGATCCCGCCCAGGACAGGTAATTTTATATAATTTATTATAATCATTTATTTAATGTTTTTATTATTGTTAATTCTTCGTACGCCTTCATATTTGTATCTTATAAAATAAATTATTTGAACCATTTCGTGAAGATTTCTATAATTGATATTTATAAATATTTAAAACACGTTTCATTAAAAGTCAAAGAATATTTATAATACAAATGAAGAAATTTTCAGACGGTAGTTTTGAATGTTGCAACTCTACTATAATTTACATACATAACACGAATTCTAGTAAGGCCCGGGAGCTCACCAGTAGCCGAATGAATTAAATCACTGAACACCGATTGGTCGCGGGTTGATACCTGCCAACGTGCTGGGTACGTGGAATTTTTTTGGGTATTTCACGTGTCTAACACCTAATTAGAGACAGAATTGGATTGAATTGATGGTATAAAGCAATGCAACACATGGCGCTCTGCCAAGACATTTCGAGTATACTTTCTATGGAAAATTGGCCCCCAATTTAGGCGTTAGACACGTTAAGACTAGGAAACTCCATGCGGCCACACATTGGTCAGGTTTAAACCAATAGTCACACTAGTGGCGCATTATCCTATGGGGAAAAAGGGCAATTGCTTGGAGGTTCCAAACCAATCTTTTATAACTCGTTACTGTACTAAGAATATCGAAATTTAAATTTGGACCATATCTAGAGACCCTAGATTGCTAGTATGGCATAGCGCAGAGGTGGCGTTAAAACGAACGAGAATACCGGGGGATTCTCCCAAAAATTCCCCGAAAAAAATGGTTGAAGTCAACACCGTACACGTGATACCCTAATTCAAATTTGCCTGGGGCCCCATGAATTTATAACGCGCCACTGAGTTCGGTGATTTTATCCACTCGGCCATTGATGTGTCAGGGGCACGTTTCCCATAGAAAGTATTCCCTGGAAGATAGAGATAAGTCTTCCCTGAAGTGGAGGGATGAGAAAAGACAATTTCAAAAGGAACCTCTTTGGAAGTTGTCTTATCTCATCACTCCATTCCAGGAGAGCCCAGGTTCGATTTTAATAGAGTTACTCGTACTCTCTTATTCTTCTTCCTAATGCCACTCATGGTATCCACAAAAAGGAATGGATCGTTTAATAACAATATTTTACAGTAGTAAAATTGAACCTGTTGGAATTTTTAGTGTTTTTCTAATATAAAATTGTCACCCCGTTATTAATATATCAGACACTGTATTATTCTTGCAAGTTTGCACATTTATTACTGAAGCCTTTCACGTTTCATGATATGTCCTTTTATACATTAAACATCTGTAATCTCCTTCAAACGATTTTGTGGAGCAATCAAACAAAAGAAATTGTGGTAAGGATACAAGCTACCGCATTTAAAAAATGATATCAATACGAAAAAAAAAGAAAAGATTTTTGAAGAAACGAAAATACAGTTATGCTGTGCAAGATAGATTACACCCATCATAAAAAGAACGGTCCATTTAGTTTCCATTGAAAATAAAATATTAGAATATATATATATATACCAGTAGACATAACGGGCACAGCTCAGTCATATCTACTTTTATTGTTTTTAAAGCGTTAGACCGAAAAATTATTTTTGCAATCCGTTATTACCTGATTTGCATATTGTAACTATCCAAACCAATTCAAACTCGTTTTCTAATACCTACAGAAAAATTCTCATTGATTATCCTTTCATTCCTTCAGTATCCGAATGGATAAAACCACCGAACACTGGTAATCGGTCATGTGGTGTTTTTTGGGCTTTCTCCACGTATGTAACATCCAAATATGGGCTCATTTCCGAAAGAAAGACGTAAATAAGATGCAAAAACCCGATCAATGCAATCATTCCTTCATTTATTAGTCCATGCTTAGAAAATCTTTGTATCATTCCAAACACATAATTTTCCTGTTTAGCTGTAATTACGCCAAATTATTCTTAATTTTAATAATTAAAACAATTATTAAATCAATTATCTTTGTAATAAAATATACTTTAACTTTCTTTTTAGTTTGATTAAAGAAATTCAAGAGATTGAAGAAAGTATGAGCATTTTGAAGAAACAAATTGAGAATTCCGAAACCATTTTCATGAAATTGATAGAAGTTAGAAAAATAATGGAAAAACATTTAATTCATAAAGAACACGCTCTGTGTATCGATAAAGATAGAGTTGTTCCTGTTCGAAAAAAATTCCCTTCACAGTATAAATTAATGGGATACGAATGATTATATGCCATATTAATTACGCCTCAATATAATTTGTATGTTATAATTATATATTGGGAAATGGGTAAATTATAATAGATTTATTGTAATGCCGAAATTAGCGGGCAATTTAAATTAAAGAATTGAACTCGAGAAGACGTATTGAAATCAATACAAATTCTTACAGGAGGGTCCGGATTCGATTCTCATAGATAGATTGTCCTATTCTGCCTTTTATGGTATCTTTCTAATGAATTTATCTACAAAAATGGTTCGAATAATTTATAATTATTCTAAATATTCAAATTTTATGTATAATCAATTGTAAAATTTTATAGGTTTTTGTAGAAAAACAAAGTTTTAATAAATTGCAGAAAAGATTGTGTACATGATCACTGATTAAGTGTGTAGTCATGGACATAACGGTAAACAAGTCATTCATAGATAAATTTCCACTATTGGCTGAGCGGATAAAACCACCATTGTGGGTGCACCCTTCACCAAAGAAAGTGGAGTTTCCCGGATTTTCTTCACATTTTTAACTCCTAAATGGGGTCCANAAGGTTTTTTTTTTTTTTTTTTGTAAAATGTTGGAAATTATTTAACAGGAGTTCTGAAGGGGGTAGACCAGAATACGTAAAGGGAAAAGGGCCTTAAATTCCTAAACACTCGATAAGGAGAGATGCTAATCGCTCTAACAGAGGAGGAACCAAAACACTTCACGTGTGTTCAGCACCCCTATTAGGAGAAATCTTAAACATTTAGACAGGAGAGAGAGATCCTAAGTACTTAACCGACAGACGTGCTAAATACTTAAGAAAAAGGAGAAATCTAATTTTAAACAAGATCCTGAATAGGACTTCTCCTCGTTATACGTTTCAACAATACTCTAAACACCTAATTAACGCCTAAATTTACTTGTATTTTTTTTTTCTAGTGTTCGAGATAAAAATAAATTCGAGTGTTTTTAAGTACTAAACGTAGAGAAATCCTAAATCCTGAATATTCAGGATTTAGGATTTCTCCACGTTTCTTACCTGAATATTCAAATAAGAATCAGGACCAGATTTCCATTTAAACGAACAGTAGCTTAAGGCCTCGAGTTACGAGTACGCAGCTTAGGGCCTGACATTTTTACATTATAACGGTGGAGGGAAAGAGCCTATATTTTAGGGCCACACACAATTAAGAACCCTTTCATTTCGAATGCATGCAAACACTAAGATAAATAAAATACAAAATTAGCATAATTAATTTTTAACGAATTAAAAATTGATATTTATTTTTCTTTAAATTATTTTTATTTAAAACAAAAAAAAAAAAAAAAATTTTGCGGGCTGGAAAGTGGAGTTTCCCGGATTTTCTTCACATTTTTAACTCCTAAATGGGGTCCAATTTCCCATAGAAAGTCTTCCTGGTAGGCAACCCCCTTGGCAGATTGCTCATATGTTTAGTTGCCTTAGAAATAAGAATGAATATAGTTTTGATAACAAGGGATTAAAGTCAATTTCGTCACGTACAATACATAAATAACACCCTTACGATTATTACAGAACAATAAAACATACCTCAGTGCCATTGCTCTGTTATAATGGTCAGTAAAGATGAAAACAAAGCGTAAATGGATCAATTTACTGAATAAATTTATGAAATTTTCTGAAAAAGAAACGAAAATTATTACGAGAAAAATAATTTCAATGGCGAATAATTAAAATTATTTAAATAAAAGTCGAAATTTATTTTCATACTTTACGAAAACGAATTATTTTATTGAAGAATCAGCCAATCGCGTGCCTTTTCATAACATATTTTTAAAAAAAAAATATTTTATGGTGAAATAAATAGTAAATTATTCGATCAATACAGCAAACAAATGAAAAATTATCCTAGAATTTATCTTTCATATTAAATTTCTTTACAAGCGCCTATGGGTAAAGCAATATTTCTGTGAATATAAAGACAAGTAAATTAATTAATTTATTATAAAAATAAAATAATACAGAATATATTTAAATAATTATAACATTTTCTTTGCATTAAATAAGACAGTTTAAAAAAAAAAAGAAACATATTAAAGTTTAAAAAGTTATCCATGACACTACAGTAGACCCCCCCCCTATAACGCGGTAGATACGTTCCGCTTTATAAGAATTTCGCGTTATAGGAATCCGCGTTATAGGGGGTCTACTGTAGTTTAATGGTAAAATTACGTGTGGCGCCATCTGTTAGGAATATTATTAAAAAATAATGTTTTTATATTATTAATTACCATAAAAGGAAACAAGACAACTTGTATAATACTGATGGTATTTTACGACCTGTATAGAATCAATGATATTTTATATATTACACAGTATCAGTGATAATTTCTGAATAGAAAAAAGTGTATTCTAGATATAATTTAATTTCTAGAATTTTTCTCTTAAAAATTAACACCGATCTTAACACTCCATAAAATAAAATATCGGAAGCTATTTATAAAACATGGTAATTCAGTAAAGCATATATATATATATATATATATATATCAATAGCATGGTCTTAAAAACCGATAAAAATGTATAAAAATATCATATATATTTTTCAGAGAAATCGAAAACGAAGTGGATATAAGTTATATATATATTCCTTTCGGATTTTGACACCGCCTGGAAAATAAGTATTTTTCCACAAAAGCTGGAAAAACTATTTCTAGAATTATAATGAAAAATAGATCCTTTTTCAAATATATGACAAAAAGAAAAAAATCATTTTGCAACTTATCTAGTATCTTGGACAGTTCCAGGGCCAAAAGTTATTTAGAACTGAGTGATAAATATATACTATAACACTAGATAAAATAGCATTTATTTACTTCATCTATACTTTATATAAATCTATATTTTATATGTCAACTTATAAAATAGCAAATAAATTTAAATTTAAAACAAAAAGTTGTTTTTTCTAGATGAATTTTCTAAGGATTTTTTTTTTTTTTTTTTTTAAAAATGTTGGAAATTATTTAACAGGAGTTCTGAAGGGGGTAGACCAGAATACGTAAAGGGAAAAGGGCCTTAAATTCCTAAACACTCGATAAGGAGAGATGCTAATCGCTCTAACAGAGGAGGAACCAAAACACTTCACGTGTGTTCAGCACCCCTATTAGGAGAAATCTTAAACATTTAGACAGGAGAGAGAGATCCTAAGTACTTAACCGACAGACGTGCTAAATACTTAAGAAAAAGGAGAAATCTAATTTTAAACAAGATCCTGAATAGGACTTCTCCTCGTTATACGTTTCAACAATACTCTAAACACCTAATTAACGCCTAAATTTACTTGTATTTTTTTTCTAGTGTTCGAGATAAAAATAAATTCGAGTGTTTTTAAGTACTAAACGTAGAGAAATCCTAAATCCTGAATATTCAGGATTTAGGATTTCTCCACGTTTCTTACCTGAATATTCAAATAAGAATCAGGACCAGATTTCCATTTAAACGAACAGTAGCTTAAGGCCTCGAGTTACGAGTACGCAGCTTAGGGCCTGACATTTTTACATTATAACGGTGGAGGGAAAGAGCCTATATTTTAGGGCCACACACAATTAAGAACCCTTTCATTTCGAATGCATGCAAACACTAAGATAAATAAAATACAAAATTAGCATAATTAATTTTTAACGAATTAAAAATTGATATTTATTTTTCTTTAAATTATTTTTATTTAAAACAAAAAAAAAAAAAAAAAAAAAAAGAANACAAGTAATTAGAAACTTCGTTTAAAGGTTGACGCTGCGGCAGACAGACAGTCTCCTTTATATAGTAATATAACGATTACTTTAAAGTAATAGAAAAAAAAAAAAAAAAAAAAAAAATTCTGTATACATTACACTACATAGATGCCCGCGCCATCTATCAACTTAAAAATACACCACTTAACGACTTAATTTCTTACGCAGGAACAATACAAGTGTATTTTTGACAGGCAATTTCTATAAAATTCTGTTATAAATATAATAATAATATAAAAAAAACACATATTTTACTACACTACTAGAGTAACAAATTGATAGTTACAGTGTTTAATTCGGTAGAAGCTACAACACGAGAGGAGTGAAAATAAAAGTGTAGACCCAAGCTCGAGCCTATAGGGCTCTTTGGTATATACAAAAATATGTCGATGGGGAGTGAAGTAGCTACTTGGAATTCGCAGTAAGTAATTTTATATTTGGATGAAGTTTTCGAATCTCTTCGCTATTGGTTTAGGGGGTATACACGTGGGGAATTGATTCTTTCCGGTCGGTAACTTGTCATGTAAAATGGCAGATAGTAAAGTGGATTGACTTCCACGAAATTCTCAAACAATCATCAGAATGTGTCTTGCAAAGAATGAAGTTTTATTTGTTCTGGGAGTCGACGTCGTGACTCGACTTTTGAATCCTACTTTTACTACCTTTTTTCTATGCCTCTTCCTCCTATTGATTTTTTATGATATGTATCGGAATTGTAAGCAACGTCCATTTTTTTTTTTTTTTGAAATGTAAGATCGGATCCGAATTGCATTTTTATTTTCTTATGTATCAATTTACATCCGGAAAACGAAATATTTTTTGGGTGGTTTTTTTTTTTTTTTTAAACTTTATCTATCGAGGGTCCTGTTGAAATATTTTCCTTAAAATTCTTAAATAATTGATTTGTTTTTTTTCTTTTAAATTTCCAACACAATGTTCTTCAAATGGAGAGCATCTTACAGGAGTTGCCTATGTTATTGCATATTTTTAAGAAATATACTTTAAATATTTATTGAAATAAAACTTTAAAGTGTATATTTTTGATTTTTTTTCCCTTTATACACCATTCAATTTAGGGTTTTTCCTTACTCTTCTGAAACACAGACGATTAACTATGGATAAATGAACATTTCTATAGATGTTTAACTGGTGATTTTTGGCATATTTTATAATTTTTAAATACAGTAAATTATATGAAAGTTTATATTAATTATAGTTTATGATTTCGAGTATATTTATTAGTGACAATTTGTGGATTCGGGCGCATTTATTTGCGGTTCGTATAAGGTTTACGGTTCGTGGTATTGGAGAAGGATTTACAGCTTTGTATGAGATTTACAACTAGAAGTTTCGGGCAAAGTATGCAGTTTTAAATACGGTTTATGTGTTCCACAACAGTACAATTTACAAATTTTACACACATTCGACAGTTTACGTATACAATTTACAAGCAGTCTGCACTTGAGACGTGCGGTAAAGACGAGAGGAAGGGAAACCATCAACATAAAACATCATCCATTCATTAATGCATCTTTCCTCTTTAGGAAGAAGGGGAAAGAGAGGAAAAAAAAGAAGACTTCCGGAATTAAAAATCATAGC